ATGTGCAACTCACATTATGCTATCGAATTACATTACCCACGAGCTGTTCGCGTGTGTGCCTCGTGAACCATTTGAATTATATTATTATTATTATTGTTACTTATTTTACCTTATCTAGTCTTAAATAACTTAAAAAAGATCCATATTTTAAGATTTTAGTTACTTTTATAATAATAAATATGAAAAACAAGAAATAAAGTATTTGCCCAATCTACTTTTTTTCTTGCCCTCGATTGTCAAGGAGAGTTAAGCCTGATTTTTTATAGTAATGCACTTGAAAATTTTTATTTAATTAAATAATGCACCAAAGAATATAGATTAATAATATGCAAAAAGTGGACAAATTCACTTACCTCTCAAAATTTTCCTGGCTTTTTAACTAGGTGACAAAATCCATTACAAATTCATCCAAGCTAGTTGTTAACTTTCCCACAGGAATGAATCTTGTACTGTGAGTGAAATTGACATATATTCTTTTCAGAATACAACATAATACAATACGTCATTTGATAGATGAAAACTTGACTTTCTATTGGTTATAGGTAATATATAATGAAATGTAAGAGAGAACTATCAATGAATTGTGAAAGAGAGGGTGTGGCAGGAGGGGTCTGATTTTCTATTTGATAGCTCTGTAACCAAACAAAATTGAAGGCTATAAAAATTATGGTTTGTTTGAGCAATAAGAATTTTATAGAGAGTATTTTACGTTTAATTTCGCACATTTTCGAAGGGTGATTTATAAAATAGGGATGATGACATGATAAGACAAAATGTGTCATGTGGGTCACACTAGTGGAAATTTAGGATTTTTAAAAATATTTACTTGTAGAATTAAGAACTTAAAACTTGTATACTATTAAAATATGGATTATTAGCTAAGATTTTATGCTATTCTAAATCGGTATAACATAAACAAAAAGTAGTTTAATAACATTTTGAATGTAAGACACTAAAACCTTGTGTCATGCGCAATAAAGGGTACCCATGCCGAAAGAGTTAACAGAATGGCTTCGTGAAGAAAGAGGGAAGTATGATATAAGGATTTCTTCTAGAAGCAGGAGAGGACAAGCCATTCATCCATGAAGAAGTGGAACCACAGTCCCAGACTATGAAGATAACGAGTGAAAACCTCCACAATGCAACTGAATGTGTAAGGGACTGACACTATTCCAAATAGAAGGGCACGGCATTGGAAGACACAATCTCTGTGGACAAATTTGCGGAAACGCTGTGAGGCCAGGGCTATCAGAACATGGAGAAAGGAATTTGACACATGTACATTGGTCATCCATAGGCCAGATTGGAAAGATCAGCAAAGAGAAATAATACTCCATCCAAAAATGAGTGATGACCAAACTGTGATTGATGGTGGATAGGCTGATGATTGGGTGCTTGTGCCCAGTCTTTTCTGGGGACATTGAAGAGGTGAGAATAGTAACCTGGAGAGGGGGGTCATGAACTTTCTCTATGGCTTGTTTCTACCTACAGGTTGAAACTGCTTCCACACATTGAAGGTAGGCTGGAACTGAAGGGTGACGAAAAGAAATAGTTTGGAAGAGAAGAGGAGGTGGGGAAAAGAAGTGAATAAAGAGGTCAAGGGTAAGGATTTAAATGACCCATATGTCAGCAGTGAAACATGTCCATAAATGTGCAAACTGGAACTAGATGGTGAAACATTGAATGGAAGAAGGATGGGAGGAGATGGAAGGTTGGAATACTGGGGCAGAATGGGGAGGAGGACAGGTAGGGTGAGGGACAGATGTTGAAGAGTGAGACTGGGACAAATGAGAGACTATGGAGGAAAGGGATCATTGGTGGCAGACACCACCAAAGACTTCTTTTCAGAGAAAGGGGGCAAAACAAGGTCTAAAAAGGAGGGCAATCAAACTTGGGAAAGAAAAGTATCCATTCCCAAGTGGTCCCAACAACAAAGGAACTAACTGAGAAGAGAAAGGGCAGAGGAAACAAAGAGGAATGATCTGGTTTCCCCTGAAAATTAATCAGGGGATTGTTGAACCACTTTCACCATAAGGTGAAGTAAGAAGAGGTTTCTAAGAATGATAGCAAGGAAGGCACAAAATTGGGAGACAGCCTATAAAAAAAATGCACCCGACCCCAAAACCAGCAAAAGAAACTCCAAGCATTGGATATCAAGGAAAGGGAGATGACTATATGCGAGGAGATAGGAATCAGTCAGGAAGGCTTTTGAAACATTCTCCTCTACACTTGTGTTTTTTACAACAGAGAGTTGTCATCATTCCAGTTTATTCATCATGAATACTCTGCCTAAAGAATCTATCAAAGAAAGGCATGAGGTTACATGAATGAAACTGATCGAGAAAGGAGTTGGCATGAACAGAAACATCAGGTGAGGAAGACAAACAAAAATTGCAAGGGGAAGGGTTATGTAAAAGGGAATGGAAAAAATCATAGGTGTGGAACACAGAAAGAATAGTACATACCTTAGCAATGAGGATCTGGAAACCTGAAGAAGATTGAAGTTCTTCAGAAGGCATGGATGTACCCAAACCAAAGCTTGGAGGTGGAAAAAGCCATTCAAAATCATCCTTCTGAACATCAGTATCAAAGGCAGGGAAAAGGAAGTATGTTGTAGGGCCCCAATCACATGTTGGACAATGGCTGTCATGTTTTCTACAGATAAAAGACTTCCAGAATTTTTGCAATTTGATCAGTGTGAGTTATATTTTCAACCACATCAGTTGAGGAAGAATTTACATTGAATTGTGAATTCATAATTATTATGTTTTAAACACAACCAAAGTAATATGAGAACAAAGTTCTTTGGTAAGTCTCAGCAAATAGGAACACCTCTTGACACAAATGTGCCAAGTAAAAGAATGAGGATTCATTTGTGCAAATGTAGAGAAAGGCTTTGTTCAAGGAGGTGTGTCACACTCCTGTTGGTGGAGGGTTTTGCTGCATGATAAGTAATCATGTTGTAGCACAAATACACATGAACATATGTGAATTAGGCAGGAGTTTTCAAAAGGTCAGTGGCATGCAAGTCAATCAGGCAGATATGCACAACTTTAAGAGGAAAATAGCTATTTGTGTACAGACATATTAATTCCAGAACAACTAGTTTATATTAGTTGATTATTTTCTTCACATTCATTGAATAATCAATTTGTTAATGAGACACTAATTGATGTAACTGCTGCTCACAGTCAGTTGATTAATTGACCCAGCTATAACTCTACAAACCTACTAATGTTAATAGTAATTAAGACTAAGATAAACAAACTTACCATGATTTCCTAAGAGTTTATAAAACCTGTACTCTAAATGAAGTTGAGGTGCTTTGGACTTCATTGGCTCCTGGAAAGTTTATATAAAAAAATTATATATTTCTCAATACTTAAATGTAATAAAGAAATCAAATTTAATAATTGCAAACAACGTTAATGGTTTAGCAGAATATTTAAAGCAGTTTATATGGAAACCAATCATACACACCTTATGTTGAGCAAGTTAATGTTAAAGCACAAAAATGTAGGAATATCAGAACACGTTTATGAATATTTTATTAACCCTATAGTTATGGACACTCTTATTCTGCACAGGTCATAAGATTTTATTTTGTCACATTCAAAATTCAATTAAGCAATCTTATGACCAATGAATGCCAAAGAAATTTACATTATAGTTCAAAGTTTTATATTAGCTAATCATTTTTAATTCCTTCCATTCATTTCAAAAGATACCTTAAACAAAAACTCTTAAATTTCATTTGATACAAATGTTCACACAACTTAACTCCTGGACTTTGTAACTTGAGTACTTCTTGACATACGCTAACCTTCATGTATCGATAGAATCTAGGTTAATTGTTCTGTTTACGCATTCTTCTTTCAAGCTCCTTAGGGCACGTTTGGAAAAAATGAAATAAATTTAATGGAACTCTTGACAGATGTCATGCCCACTTTGTTGCTGCTTTTGTCCTCGCTAGCACTTTAGCATTGTTTCTCACCTATAAATATGCTAGGTAAACAATTAAACTGTAATTAGGTTTTGGTTTTATATTTTAGTTAATTGTGTTATTTATGTTTTAAAATGCATATGAGAAAGATTTAATAATCTTTTTAAATATACACCAAAATGCCTCGGTTCATCAGGCTTAGTGTAGTAGACAATTGTCCCAACATTCTGATGAAGACTAAAATGTCTCTGCCTATGATACCCTAATATTGCCCATTGACATGTGTCACATTACAAAATAATGCTAAAGGACAGGAAAGGAAAATAAAACATCAAAACAAATTATATGTGAAAAAGTAAAAAATCTTTAAGATTATTTGATGAAAAATCAAAAGGTATGTAAATTTTTTCTATTTTTAATGTTAAACATTTTATTGCACAATATATTGACGATAATACTTGAAATATTCAGTCTGAGTGCAATACAAAACTAACAAATCTTTAGTTAAAATACTTAATTAAAATAATCTCATTCTTTTTGTACAAAATACTTGTAATCTTTAACAAAATCTTACCAAATTTTGTGAAGATATGTTAAAAAACCTCAAAGTTATGTAAGTATTATTGAACTGTGTATCATTCTTCATACAAGAAGTAGCCAAATGGGTTGAACCCTATAACAATAGAGTTAATTCAAAAATCTCCTTCTCATTTAATAATTTAGTAAGTGATATATTACAAAGCACATACGATTTACAAAACCATTTTTGATAATGTATAAAACATACATATCAAAGCCTGTTAAAGCATATTCAATTATAAATAAATTACATATTACTAAAACCATACCTCTTCTGCAAAATTTTAATACAACTTTAATAGTTTTAAAAAGAATAAAACAAATGTGATTTTATTTTCAGCATTTATGTTGTATGGAAATTAAATCACTCTTCTTCTTCATTTGACCTTAATCCAATCTGCAATGGGGTTATCTGCTTTGGTATTTTGTATTTACCAAGAATTTTTACCCTCGAGTGGTTGGCCCTGGCAGCATCCTTAGAGTGAGCATATTCAGTGACAAGGATTCAAATCCTCAACCCACAGACTGCTTTATCCATCAGGCCAGGCCAAGCCAGAAACATATCAGTCTGTAAGTTATTTAAACAAAATCCTGTGATTCTGTACTTTCTTGAATCACTTACTCTTTTATAGTAAACTGATAAGCTTACATTAAACAATTGTTCTACAATTACATTTAAAGATGGATACTTTCATAATTTTAAAACATACAAGAAATTAAGTACTTAAATTTTGTTATTTTTATTGGTAAAAAATATTTCTGTCTGTACATATAAGTCAGAAAATAAAATTTATACTTTGGAAAAATGTATAAACTAAGTTTTAACTGTTCCTGAAAAAGCTTGGTTAAGTTAGCCAAATATCTGAGAAACATTTTATCCTATTTATATCCAAAATTAACAATTTTGAACCTTATTATTAAAGTACTGTATTATTTACTCAAAAAATAAAACGTTAAGTTCAACATACTATATTACAAGTTTCGTAAAAATCATTGTTAGCTTTAACAAGTCTCTTCTGTAAAACATACAATGCACAAGCTTTTCCACACAGCACCAAACAGAAAGTACTTGATAATAAAAGTTGAATGCTAAAGTAATAAGGGGATAGTTGTTAATTTTTATCTCGTAATTTACAAAGACCCTCACCAGATTATGGAGCAATGTGCCTCAAAAATTAGCCAGAATTAAAAAAAATTGCACTTTTACAAATATATGGTTTCAATTACCTATTTACTCCAAGATGGACAGTAAGCTAATACTTAATAATTAAACTCTTGAAAAATTCATCTTGAGGTAATTACTTTTAATTATATTTTCCTCAAAAACAAATTATTTCAGCAATCAAGGGTCAAGCCAGACTCTCCAAACAAGAAGTCACTTCTTCTTCCAGGTGCCAACAAAATGTTTTTGAAAATAGAAACTTCACATTTCTGTATCAGATATGTTCATAATGTGAAAACACCATTTAATAAAGGAAATGTTGTTTATTTAGAGGTTAATTGTTTCCACTGCATGTGTGTATGTGTCAATTAGTTGGTCCTCCATATATATATATATATATATATATATATATATACACACATACACACATATACACACACACAATGTATAACAAAAAATAAAGATAACTCTATT